GTAAACATTTAAGATTCACAGAAGTGGTTAACATTTGTGAGAATAAAAGCTGTTCCACGTTTTTAAGAGAACACTGGCCCTGGATGTGCACTAGACCTTACACTGCAAACACACACACCACGTTGCAAAAATAATTATTCCAAATGCACATACTGTGCACATTCTAATATGTCCATAGGTACAAACCAGCATGCAGAGATAGCGTGCGTGAATTACAAAGGATTTCAGAATATCTCCCAGACTACAGTTGCTTAAAGAGGATTAATTATTCCCTTTTCAAGTACTTCTCAAGTATGTGCTTTATGTTTAAGGGGGAAAGAGTACTATTAATACATGAGATATGAATTCTCTTTGGCAGTAATTTCATCAAATTGAAGAACACGGGCTTGCCTTTTTTGTAATACTAGGACTGGAGTACACCATACTCCTGCTCTCTTAACCATGCTTCAGGGATCAGATGTGAGCTGTGAGACCTTAACACTCCCTTTTCTTAAGCATCCCCCTTCTCTGGCACTCATTTCCCTTGCCATGACGAGCTACCGTGTTTCCCCGAAAATAAGACACTGTCTTATATTTATTTTTTCTCAAGAAGACACACTAGGGCTTATACCACAAATGCATAGAAATCCTGCTAGGGCTTATTTTTGGGGTAGGTCTTATTTTCGGGGAAACAGGGTATTAAGCAGCAATTCATAGGCCTGAACCCTATATCTTTCTGCTTGTGCTCCTCTCTGTTCTTGCGCAGGCAGGTCCCTCCGCTGTAGACCACATGTTCCCTGGCACAGTCTGCTCACACAAGACCAGTGTTTTTTAAGGAATCAAAAACGCCTCAGTGCGGGATGGGCTCTGCTGGAGAGGGCCACTTCTGCAATGAATGAAGAGACGCACAAATGGAAAGAAGTTATAGGATCCAGGCTAGAGTTGTGGTTTTGAAGCTGATTCAACTCAAGTCCTGGTTAAAAGGCAGTGTCTGTAACAGGGGGGCAGGGCAGACGTTGTTAGCACATAGGTTCAGAACAGAGAAAAGGAAATGCTTCTTTACTCAAGAAGTAGTTAAACTGCAGTGTAGGCAGTAACAGCCCCAAGCATAGATAGCTTTAAAAGGAGGTTTGACAGATTCAGGGTGTGTGTGTTTCCAATCAGTGGCTATTAGCCATGGTGACAGAAGGGAGCCTCCATATCGGAGGCAGCAAACCTCTGAATACCAGTGCTTGGAGGGAGCATCAGGGGAAGGTCTCGTCCTTTATGTCCTATGGGTTTCAGCCCTCATGGGCAACTTATTGGTTGCTGCATGAAACAGAATGCTGGACTAGATGAACTGCTGGTCTGATCCAGTAGGCTCTTCTTATATTCTGAAGAGCTGTGGAACGTGTAACCAGGGAAGGAACATGGGCCCATGGCCTGCCCCTAACCTCTTTAACCACCCCATTTAAGAAGCCTCCTCAACCAGCAGTAAAGCTCTCATACTCTGTCGCTTTTAAATATTCTGGGCAGGATTTGGGTTCGTCAAATGTCAAGCAACACCCACAAAACGACATCATATCTTATCAATGTCAGAAGTGTTGCTTGTGCCCCATGTGAAAAGTCCCCATATCTTTACCTATATATTTCAGGTCATGTTTTATAAGTCTCACGACATAATACCAATTTTATATTCAAATGCTCTCCAATTTTCTTTTCTTCTTGGGCTGCTCAAAGCACTAACAGTAATTTTCTTTACATGCCAGGGGGGACGGGGACACAAGCTATTCACAGCACTTCCTGCCTGATCGTAATGTGAAATGCAACAGTGTAAACAGTGCTTCCTTATCTGTTCCATCCTTCTCTCCTCCCACAAGAAATATTTAAACATCTGCCTGGGATAAAATGACTCAAACAGGGTCTCTCATGCATTTTGGCCAGGTATGTGGTGCCAGTTTAGAAGGTGTGTAGCCTGCTCCTATGTATGTTTACTGGAAGTTTTTCTGAATTCAACAGTACTTATTTCCAAGTAAACATGCACGGGATTGTAATGAACAATGTACACATATCAGCTTGTATTCAACCAAACATTCCCAAAGTTTAAGGGCAGTTCAATTTTCTTAAGATGGGACAACGATTTCCACCAATTCCTCCCTCTCTCTCACTGCAGACCCCAACTTTGCCCCCTAAGCTGTTCGCTCACCCCCAGGGAACAAAACTGTGGGGGGCAGGCTCAGTGGGAGGGGGAAACTGGCAGAAATCACAGCACTGTCTTAAGAAAACAGAAGTGCCTTTAAGTCTTTGGAAATGCATGGTTGCATACAGGCCAATGACCAGGTATCTGTGGTCCTCAATATTCTTTCAAGTAGCTTCAACAGAAAATTCAGTTTTAAATTTTAGCTAGCTGCAGTATCAGCCACATCTGGGTAAACGTCAAATTATTTCATTTAGTATTTCACATACAAAAGCAGGTTGCTTACCAGTAACTGGTGATCTTCGAGTGGTTATCTGTGCAGTCACACCCATGGGGATCTAGTGCACACGCGCTGGATCGATCGGTGCTGTAGCAAGCTCTTTTAATGAATTTTTGCACCCAGCCCCCCCCCCGGCATGCGCAGGAACCCCACCACGCATGCCCAGAGGGGTGGGCGTGGACATCCCGCCAGTTCCTACAAACTGCCGCAAATCAACCCCTATTCAAAAATGTAGAAGCTGACAGCAGCGGGGAAGGAGGGCGGGTGGTGTGAATGCACAGATGACCACTCGAAGATCACCAGTTACTGGTAAGCAACCCGCTTATCTTCGACATGGTCTCTGTGCTTCACACCCATGGGAGATTAGCGAGCGGTAGCCTACCTGGAGGAGGGTGCTGGCAGGACTATTACTGCGTAGCCGAAGGTAGAATGCAACATCCCATGTTGGTATTAGAGTTCTTTCGGACGTCTAGAGTTTCTGCGACATTGCAGACCAGGGACAGGGGTTTCCTGGAAGGTGCTACCAGAAGCCAATCATCTATATACGGGTAGATGGAGATACCCTGGAGACTGAGGAAAGCTGCAACCATGATCATAGTTTTTGTGAAGACCCTGGGGGTGCTGGAGAGGCCAAACGGAAGGGCGGTATACTGGTAATGTTGTTGATCAATCGCAAAGCGTAGGTATTGGCGGTGGAAGGGGTGGATGGTAAGGTGGAAATATACGTCTTGGAGGTCGAGGGTGGCCATCCAGACGTGTGTGCGAAGCAATGGCATGATCTGTTGTAGGGACACCATGCGGAAGTGGTGGTAGGTCACAAGACGATTCAGTTCCCTGAGATCTAATATGGGTCAAACGCCTCCATCTCTCTTTGGGACTGTGAAGTATCGGGAATAAAACCCCGTCCCTCGGAGGTGTGGTGGTACCTGTTCAATAACTCCCTTTTGCAGAAGGACGGACACCTCCTCGAGGAGAGGTAGGGAAGGGGGGCACTATAGGGGCATCACCCAGTGCAGGCACCGCTTCCTTCCCCTTCTTCGTCACCTTAAGGGACTTGGAGGTGCCCTTCTTCGCGGACTTATGCTCTGTACTTGCCTTAGCCTTCTTTTTAATTGGCGTGGAGGAAGACGATCGACGACAGGACTCTGGCTTGTGAGACTCTCCAAGGCAAAAAATACAGAGGGTATGACGGTCGGGAGGAGCAAGTTTGCTACCACAACGTTTGCATCTATTGAAAAATCCCCACTTCTTCTCCATAAAGAAGTGAAGTGGAGAGAATGGTTGGGGGGGGGGGTAGCCCGAAGGCCTGAGGTAAATTCAGAAGAAAATAAAGTTTTTTGTTTTTTAAAAAAGTTTTGAAGAACAAACGACTAAAAAAGAAAAATAAAGTATGGAAATACTTCCTAAGAGCTGTGAGGCAAAAGCGAACCGAGCAGACCGATGAAGAAAGAGGTCTTTCCAACGCGGCGGTAAGAAAGGAACTGGCGGGATGTCCGCGCCCACCCCTCTGGGCATGCGTGGTGGGGTTCCAGCGCATGCCCGAGGGACTGGGCGCGAAAATCTGTTAAAAGAGCTTGCTACAGCACCGATCGATCCAGCGCGTGCGCACTAGCTCCCCATGGGTGTGAAGCACAGAGACCACGTCGAAGATCTGTGGATCCCAGTTAAAATTCCAGCTCTGCAAGATCTGTCTCATATTGTACCATACTTGTACATCCATGTGTGCCTAGCTGAACATGGAAGCAATCTACTCTTTTATCCACAACATCAGGTTGAAACTGTCAATGCATTTTTTTAAAAACCCAAAACACACAACCCCAGAAATTCTCCAACAAGGAGTGTTCAAGGAATCTCTCCTTAATGAAAAGTGCACACAGGTAAGATGGAACGACATGCATGTTAATTGTTCATAGTTGCAGCTGAAGCAATACTGTCTTTATGGTCTTTGTGCAATATGATGCTCTGGCTCAAGCTTACTCTGACCACAGTACTGCTTGAGCATTTCCTGCATAGGCAGAGATGCTAAACCATTTCATTTTTTTTTTAAATTCAACCACGGGGGGCTGGCTCTCTGCCTTGCCAGGAAAGTACCAGGCGAGCTGTTGCCCGGAAAGCCACTAGTGGCCAGCAGCAAGATGAGCCAACTGTGCCATGTGGTGTGGGCAGAGCAGCAGGGGCTGCTTGGCCTGGACTCAGGCCATAGTGTGGAGACAATGGGTTGGGTGAGCCAACACCCACTGTCACTACAGCCCAGCTCTACCAGCCCTGCAGGGGCCCCCTTGAGCTCCGCTTCCTCCAGACTGTCTCAGTATCTGTAATCCACCTCTCCCAATTATCCCTTTCTCTCCAGGTTCACAGTAAGTCATTCCAGTCTTTGAAAATGTAAACTGAACACAAAAAACTGTACACTTATTCAATACTTTTGTTTCCTGCACCTCAGTATCCCCAAAGAAATTCCCTTTTAGAACTGGTGACACCTGGGACACCATACAATTACTAATCTGTTGTAAACATATGTAATCGGAGATAAATCTCTTTTATAGAACACCTACAAAAATTCCAGTTTGCTATCACAGTGATTTCAATTCATCATGCTTGCACATTCGGCTAGAGGCTCCTTAATAGCAGAAACTGAAAGTGTGTTAAGATGCTTTACCGTATCCTTTACTCGGCAGTGGTTCATTCAAGTTAAGCATTCCCCTTAATCCTCTCGAATGCTAGTCCTGACACTCTGCTCTCATCTATTCAGCCTCTGCGTTACAACCTCTCGGTACATGATGGAGATATATATAAGTAGCAGAAAGACCACAAAGAAATCGTCTAAAAATCCCAGAATTCCAAATAGAGCTTCGGGCAGGAAATCCAGGGGTGACGCTAGGTACAACAGAGCGCCTAACAGACAGAGGAATATCCTGATGCGAAACATCCAGAAGAGACCTCCAAGAGAGAACATTTCTCTGAACGCATGACGCAATAATGTTGGCAAATCCATAATTCTTTCCATAATCTTAAAAAAATAAAAAGATAGAGTCAATACATAACTTCTAATCAATACATCGACACAACTTCAATACATAACTTCTAATAGGGGCTTTTTAATGAGCACATACACTGCAAGCTCATACAAAGAAACAGAAATTTTCAAAAACATGGGTGCTATGACTACTGTTCACAGTGCAACCAAAACACAAAGGGGGAGAAAGAACTTCAACCCAGGACTACCAAGTAACCAAGAATGTTGAGAACAGGCCTTATAACAGAATAACTAATAATGGGCTTACATGTGTTAGATTTAACATATGTAAACACATTATTATTTATTCTGCTGTTAGGCATATTGTCAACATTCTTGGTTACCTACTATTCACGGTGTACTATTCACGGAAAATCAGGGCCCTCTTCTCCAATCCCTTTCACTTCTGGATCTGAACTGAAGAAAAATAATACCTTGGAACGCAATCTTTTTATAACAGAAGTGCAAAGCTGAGCAAGAACAGGGGATAAATAAACCGTATATTTCAGGAGCATATACCAATGTAGACATAAAAGTTAATATTTATTATAGAACTTTAACCCTGTAAGACAGGTTAGTATTATTATAACCCCGTTACCGCTGGGAGCACAAGGAAACAGAGAGTGGCTTGCCAAAGGCTCCCTGCTGAGTACATGGCTGAATGCAGAGCTGAACTAGGGAATTTCTTGGATCATAGCTAATTATCTTAATTGCACTGCCTAACCTTTCTTCCTAGTAAGAAGGATAAATAAATAAAGCTCTTATACTGGAACAGATTAATTCTCAAAGGCCTGAATTGCAGAAAATTCCCATCTTTGCTTCCTGAACTATACATTGAAAAGGTTCGATTCATCACGTAAAAAGAATCTTTTCTTTATTGTCTATCTGACTTTATCCCCACACATACCGATCTTGGCTGTCCTGAGAATCTTCTGTTGTAATCACTGACATCCTGAAGTACTTGTACCGCATCCTGTTGACTCTCATTGAAGAGTGGTAAAAATAAAGTTACCTGAACACAACAGAAATCAGTCATTTAATGCCTGTATGCTGGTTATGTTTCTTTTTTTGGTTAAAAATATCCTTTTAAAAAGGTAACATTCAGATACTCTTAAATGGCCATGGAGGATCAACTCAAGGAGAACAACAAAATCCAGACTTTGAGATGGGATTCTTTGTGTGACTGCTGAGTCTACACATACTATTGAGGTTCAGAAAAATGTATCCATTCTGAAAATCAGGGTGCTCTGCCTAGAAGCACTTGCCATATCAAGTCCAAACCAGGCACACTTGCAGCCCCAACAAAACAGAACATTTAGCCCGCAGGCTAAACATCGTATCTCACTATAAACATTCATCTGGATGACTGCAGGTAGATGATTCAGAGGAAACTGTTACCAACACAGAATGCATGAGGAAGTGCCACAAACATTTTACTAGCAGTGATTCGGGCCTATTCATACTGCATTCCCCAGAGATGGATTTAAAACAAACAAGGCTCCTGTAGCAACTCAAAGAAGGTATGAAGTTTCATGGGCTGCTAGACCCTACTTAAGCCACAATAAAGGTTATAGTGTTTTAGGTGCTCCCATGACCCTTGATTGGCTAACATGGCTAACCTCTTGGATTTGTATTTTAAAATAGCATTTGGCGTCAGCTTCTAAAGCAAATAACCCAATACTACAGCAAATAACCCAGTACTACAGCCATTAACTTTACCTTGCCATTTTGTGTATTCCTAAAATAAACTAGCAGATACTCTCAACTTTACTTTCAATGCATCAAAGTGCTTTTAAAAGTCATTACATTAAAAAAAAAATAGCAACAGAAGCTTGCTGAACTTGCCCTGCAACTGAACACCTTCATTTGAATGTTTGATCTTAAAACGCATCACGCACCCTGTTATAAAGTAAAGCACTGGTATATATTTATAGAACCGTGACTTGAATTTTATATCAGAATTTTGCATGTCGTCATATTACCGTCTGCCTGCAAATGGGGCAATGTATCGCACCCAGCCATGAGCCACACCGCCAGTATGCAATAATACAGGAACCTAAATGGAAGAAACAACACCATTACTAGCTGCTTCATTCTATCCGCCTGTGACATTACCCCACCCTTCTTCCAAGGAATACGGGGCGGTGTACCTGGTTCTCCCCTCCTCTGTTTTATTTTCTCAAACTGACAATACGTAAATAGAAGTCCTTATTTCAACTGAGCAGCAGACAGAAAAGAAAGTGTAACATTATAGCTTTATGCAGGGTGGGTGGGTGGTCTGGGCAGTCAGACCACGGATTTGTATCCTGTTTCGTGGGTTCCATCCACAGCCTCTTTTATGAACTTCTCTTGGATTATGACGCTGGGCAACTCAACGTGATGCAGTGAACTCATGAAATATTTTTACCACCACATCATAATAAACTGTGCAGGGCAAGAGTGCCTGGAGCTCCTTGGAAGCAATACAAGGACAAGGGAATCTGCACATCAACAACAGATTTCAGAGGGTTCGGTGGCCTGATTTTGACCCACCCTTGAGCTCAGATGCTAAGCTAATGCTCCTCCCCCCAAAAAACAAAAACAACCACACACATGGGGAGTGGCTCTGTCATGAACTGGGCTGTGGCACCAGAGGCCTACTAGGCCCAGGGAGCCTGGCTAGCAGTAGGTGAGGCTGGGCCTACAACTTCCAGAAGCCCGAGGGGTTTTGGAGCCAAAACTGACCAATAGGAAAAGAGGAGGGCTTGGAATAAAAGATCTGGTGCAGCAGGAAAAGCTGTTCTTTCTTCCAAGAGGGCAGAGCCAGAAGGAAGGCTACTGCAGGAAGAAACCCTCATCCTGAGGGAAGGGTGAGTAGTCTAAGGCCACTGCAGATAGTGAGCTAGGGACAGTATATATTTAGACGCGTTAGGGCATTTGATTTTTTTTCTTTTCACCCACTTACTGTTATATTTCTGCACCTTGTTTGTTTGACCTCTTATAAAATAAACTATTTTTGTTGTTCACTCTGCCTGGTCCTCACGCCTATTAGTCTGCCAAAAGGGAGGTCAAAAGGTCTTGGGAGGGTGTTCTGGGCCTTCTCAAGGGAGCCTGGAACCAGAGTGGTGGCAGCGTCAGGTGACATCCCACCTGAGCCGTGACAGGCTCTTTATATCATAACACATTTAAACATCAATACAAAGCAGGCTCTCTAGAACTCTTTACAAACAATACTGAAGGAAGTGTTCAGGTACGAATTTTTAGGTCAAAATGACTTTAAATGTCAATACTGCCTAACCTCTCTTGTGAAACTGGCATTGTAAGGGTTGCTATGATCCTCAACATTAATATAAAATACATTAAAGACAGAAGTGTTCCCATCTTCAGTGTGGGAAATTCCTGGAGATTTTTTTGGGAGGGTGATGCCTGGGCAGGGGAGAATCCGAGGAGGAGAGGCAGCTCAGGGAGGCGGTGATGCCAGAGAGTTCACTCTCTGAAGCTGCCATTTCCTCCAAGGGAACTAATCTCTGTAGTCTCGGAATCAGTTTGTAATTCCAGGAGAACTCCAGATCATCCTGAAGCAGGGAAGGATTAAAAACAAAATATAACACGTTAATTAAGATTAACGTTATAGTGGAGAGCAAACTGAAATTTAAAAGTCACGGTATACGTCTTAGAAATCTACCATATAAACTAGCAGAAGGAAGGCGAATTAAATCAGGAACCCAAGTGGGGTTCTCTGCTTTTATACAACTGAGCCATTCTTCTAAAAACACCCTCTCTTCGCACCCTGCTGTGTCAGTTCATCTTGCCAGTGTGACGGAATGCAAGAAATGGTTTTAATCCCCCCCCCTTTTCTTGCTTACCGCAGAACAGGTGTCCACAGTTTGTCTCGATAGGAGATGTAGCCTGTTGCAAACAGACAGGGCAGGACATATCAGTATAGAAGCGCTGCCTGTCTCCAGCTGCATTCTGCTAAGAGAAATGGGAAATGCCAGATGTTCAAGCAGAGAATATGCTTTCACCTGTTGGAAGCTCCAATATATTAGCAAGATTTTTTTTTTTTTTAAAAAAGGGGGCTGGATCCTGTGGAAAATTTCTGCTAAAGGGCAGGCAATTTTCACCAATCCCCCCCTCCCACAAAAGATCTACAACTCCCCCCTCCTGCTATTCCAGGAGCTCCCCTATATCTCCTATAATGACAATAATAATTTATTTATTTAATTGCATTTATATCCCGCCCTCCCCGCACGCAGGCTCAGGGTGGCTTACAGGACATAGATGTAAGGCAACACCACAGTTACACTATTAGGGCACGCAGTGCAATAAGATATGGTTAAAACAATTTAAAACAATTAATTACATTGGGCAACTACCAAGAATCTATCGCTACTCACATACTCGCTCCCTATTGTACATCACATTGAGTCAAAGAGGGGGATGCTATGGCCCCGATGTTCAAAGGGCCAGTCAGCCTAACCCAGTGGTATTGCTTTGCGGTCACCCGTTAGTGGTGGCGTCGTCGTCGTCAGAGTGGTCAAGTTGCTGTTAAATGTTAAATGCTGTCAAGTTACAACCAACTCATGGAGACTTCTCATGGAGATGAGCAGAGATGGTTTGCCATTGCCTTTCGCTGCATGGCATGGCAACCCCAGTCTTCCTTGGTGGGCTTCCATCCAAATACTAACTATGGCCAGCCCTGCTCAGCTTCCAAGCTTGGGCTAGTCTGGGTTATTTAGGGATCTTTTTAGGCTGCAGTGGGAGAAGGGACGTAAGGAATTCCACTGACAGAAACCTCTTCTGTCAGCTGAGATTTATCACAGTACACAAGCCAGATGATTATACTGTTTTCTACCTTCTACTTATATGTTATAAAGAATATAGCAATAAAAACAAAAACAATCAGAATATATGAGACTTAAACCAAACCCAATGAGACTCACTGCAAGAGACCCTCCACCATGGAATCTGGCCAAACAGAAATCTTTTGCAGAAACAGTTTATGGTGTTTTCCATTTGGGTTGCTTTTCAATGGCCAGAGCTAAGCCAAGGAAGAAGGTTTCAGCATACATCACATTTTTACCTTTTTAGTTGGGAGGAACCATCTGTCACCAATACAGCACACACATAAGACACCCACACACGTAAGACACCCAGTTTAATCTCTGGCATCACCCCATAAAAGGGATCTCAGTAGCAGGTTCTCTACTGAGCTCTTGGACAGCAAGTTGCCAGTTGGAGTACACAGGAATGGGCCACGTGTACCAATAATCTGAACTCAGCCTTTGTGTTAAACTTCAAGTTTTTAAAACCATGTTTTTACTGAACTCTTGTTTAATCCAGTGTTTAAATGCAGGATACCCACAAACTGTGGTTTGCTGATGGATGTTAAACTGGAATTCTAAACCATGGCTTGAACATAGCTTGTTAACTGCAGTTTGTCATGATGTCTGAATGAATAAATCCCAGCTTGTTCAATAGTGCCTCCCCTTTCAGCCTCCTGCACGGAAAGGACAGACCTACAGAAAATCTTGCCATTCCAAGCTGCAGTGGTGAATTGGCAGTGCTTTCTAAGGGCACTGCCTCCTTCCTTCCCTCTGCCTTTTGCTTCTATACCACTTCTTTGCTAGTGAAAATCTTGCAAACAGGATTAAGAAGCACTTTTTCCGAGTTTAAAAAGCAGAGAAATAGCAAGAGATCGTTGTTTGCGTGTATGGGGGGGGGGGCTGTAAAAGATCTATTTTTGTTTCCAAGTACAGTTCAAGGGATGAACTGATGCAGTTGGGTAGAAAGAGGGAGGGGAACTGACTATCTACAAAACAGAAAGGGGGGTGATGGGTGTAAATTATTTATAATAGTCTCAGGCCTGTTGTGCACATGTGGTAAACTAGGGTTTGTGCAACAATCTGTGGTTTGAACAAACTACGACTTATTCTGACATCTGAATGCAGCCTATTAGGCAGCTTTATTATGCCGATTCTGATTTTAATGTGAACCTTTATTAGACATATGCTGATAACACTGGACTGAATTCTTAAGCCATTTGTCTTTCCCAGAATGGACATTTACAAAAAGACACAGACATACAAAGGGATTTTTCAAAGGCTCTTAAAAAGCCCAAGTACACGCAAAGGTGTCAAACGCATTTGTTACGAGGGTTGGATTTGACACAAATGTCACTTTGTCAGGCTGGCCACGTGTGCCATAAAATGTAAAACCAGGTACCAGAGATATAAACTTTTTAAAGGACACAAGCAAACCCAATTAATGATATTATTTTTTTACTCAAAATACAAACAAAAGCAATTGATTCCTAGCAGTGAAAGCAACTGATTTACTGGGGAACCCACAAAAGCCTCAATAAATGTATTTAATCATATGCAAGACTAGGTTTTTTCCAAGGGATACTATAAAAGGGGGAGTAACTTACATTTCCGTGCATACCAGTTGCTTGTGGGCTAGGTGAGAACCCTGGAGGGGCTGGTTCCAGCCCCTGGGCATTATGTTTGACACCCCTGTTCTATATAATCCTATATTATCACCTTCAGATGTTACAAGTTGTTCATTGAG